AAACATCTTGATGGCTCTCAAGATCACAAGGTGACCTGTTTACACTACATCTGCAAAACCACCGAATATGGATGTTGACAGCAGATTTTATAAATAAATCGTTATCTGAAGGCAGCTTAATCGCCCTGTTGCAGGAAGAGAGGGGAAAAAAGCATCTTGACTTTTTGCAGAGTGTGAAGCCCTCAAATACTTCCAGTCAAAGTAACATCATTCCCTTCTCCTGCCTATTAATTTTCCATGATCGTTCCCAGCCTGGTGCTTGCAGAATTATTGAGTAACTTGCAGAATTATTGAGTAACCATTCAGAAAAGTAGACTTCATAAAGAACAGGGACGTAACGTTCAAAGGCTGCCCTTGCCAGCTTCTGTCTCTGTGACAAACAGATGTTGGGGTTGATGAATTAGAGAAGACAAAGGGATTAAGACCAAGGCCACAAGAATCTTATGTCCCATGCCAGGGTTTTCTCTAATTGGATGACACACGAGCCGATTGGCTCCATGGAGAAATCTCATCTTAACAATCACACCCTCCTGGGCCAGTGCCTGGGGCCAATGCCCAACAGAATGAGAAACAAGTTTCTGCCACTAATTTCCATCGTCCCATCAGAGCTGGTGGTTGGGAAGGTGGAATTGTGGTCCAGAATTTGTAGAAGAAACCAAATTACGGAAGATATGACTAATGAATCAGACAAGTAATAATCCAGGCTTCCTTCTGTGTTCCATCCTGAAGGTCATTGAGTTTTCTCAGACCAGCCTTATACCTGTAGGAGGGATTGTTGGAAGAATAAATTGGCCAGATGTTGATTTATTTATTTATTTATTCAATTTATATGCCACCCCTCTCCGAAGACCCAGGGCAGCTCACAATACACTAAAAAAATCACTATAAAAATTAAAAACATTAAAAACTACTCACACCATCCATGGCCATCACACTATGATGTCTCTTTGGAAGAACACTGAACTATCAATAGAAAAGAATATTTGTAGCTCAGGGTTGAACATGGGTCTTTGACATTTTATTAGCAAACCAGGTAACATCGTCAGTGCACTGATCATCATACACATCATTGGAACACTGATGATGTTACCTGGTTTGCTAATAAAATGTCTGTAAGAAAACCACCAAGTTCAGAATTCACCTAGGAGCCCATCATCCTCCCCCTCCTCTTCCACTCTGCAAACCCCACTCCCTTCTGGCACTGATGCTATTCCCCACTTGGGTCATGAAATGTCAGCTAAGAAAAGCTCAAAGAGCACCATAGACCCATGTTTCACACACTGAACTATGCTGCAGTCAGAGTTACCCAGCATGCTATCTCAATGGGATGCACCAATACATGGACATTTTTAATTTAAATAACATCCATAGCCACTTAATCAAAACCTGCCCCCTTTTTTTTAACCTGCATTTGATGCTGGAAATTAAGAAAATAATAATACAATTCCTATGCACTGTGTATTGGAAATTTCATTTCATTTCATTTTTTTTCATTTTATTAGATTTCTATTAAAATAAATTAAAGAAATCACAATGCTAATTCCAGTCAAAGGGTTTTATGGCACCTAGCGTAGTTGTTAATTAATTCTGATGGCAGAAGCTTTTGTGATCTGTCCCATTAATTAATGAAACAATCCTGTAATCCAATCTAATAGAAGTAGTTCAATTCCTCCCAATCTCCAGAGAGAGAGAGAGAGAGAGAAGAGAAGATTCGGATGCCTTTTAAATTGAAAGAGGAATTTGTGGCATTTTTGCATAATTTACGTCTGTAAATTAGCTTAATAATTTAGAACAGCGGCTGTCGTGCCATAGAGATTTAAAACCATTAATCTCCTTTGTGAAATCATACCTAGTTATCATTTTGCTGAATTGAAATCACACGTGTCTCGCCCACTTCCTCCTCGCTCTCCATCACACGTTCAAGTTTTATCAAAGGGCTCCTCCTGGAGGTTTTACTAAACGTTTAGAAAATTCACCATGGGACTCCAAATTCATAGAACATAGAATAATAAGAGTTGGAAGGGACCTTTGAGGTCTTCTAGTCCAGCCCCCTACTCAAGCAAGAGACCCTATACCATTTCAGACAAGTGGCTGTCCAGTCTCTTCTGAAAAACCTCCAGTGATGAAGTGCACCACAACTTCTGGAGGCAACATGTCCCACTGGTTAATTGTCCTCACGGTTAGGAAATTTCTCCTTAGTTCTAAGTTGCTTCTCTCCTTGGTTAGTTTCCAACCATTTTTTTTCATCTTGCCTTTTGGTGCTTTGGAAAATGGTTTGACCCCTTTGGTTTTTGTAGGAGCCCCTCAAATATTGGAACGGTGCTGTCATGTTTCCTAATTACTGTGTTCCCCCCAAAATAAGACTGGGTCTTATATTCATTTTTGCTCCAAAAGATGCATTAGGGCTTATTTACTGGTTAGGTCTTATTTGGGGGAAAATAATAATAATAATAATAATAATAATAATAATAATAATAATAATAATAACCACCTTTATACGGTACTAAATGCACCCATCTGGCTGACAATCTTTTTTAAAAAAATATTTTATTTGTTTTTAAACATCTTAAACATAAAATACATCTTTTAAGAGCAAAGGTTTGGTCCGGTATTAGATAAGTACAATTGCCCACACTTCTTTAACCAATTTGATTCCAAATCTCATCCATTGACATCTTTAAAAAGAAAAAAGACATCAAATCACCAATTTTTTATCATACATTCTAACATCTTATTCTAAACACTCGGCATTCTATTGTATCACCATAAATCTTAAATCACAAATAAACGCAGCTCCTTTTTGTATGCAATCTTTCATTACCAAATAAACACCATTCTAAATTTTTCCATCTGGCTGACAATGTTAACTAGGGCTTATTTTGGGGGGTAGGGCTTATATTACGAGCATCCTGAAAAACCATGCTAGGGCTTATTTTCCGGTTGGGTCTTATTTTTGGGGAAACAGGGGATGCGGTTGGTCCATGAAAAGGGCAGTCTCATTTTTTGCGGTTATTTGCTTGCAGTGTTAAAAAGGGATCAAGATGAAATTAAAGCACCTCTGCGAAGGGAACGTATTTCTGACTTGGCTCTTGTTCTACAATGAACTCCCTTGCCAAATGTTATGAAACACCCTTGCCAACAGTACAGAACAGGTGAAAAGAACAAATGGGTTTCACCATAACTCTTTCCTAGACAAACAGATTTGACCACATCACTTGGCTCACGCTCCAGGAAAAGAATCACAATGGATTGAGTAGCGTTAAACCACTTATTTGTAAGAACGGGTGTCCTTACAGATTTATCACTTTCTCTCTCTCTCTCTTTAGATCCCCCCCCCCATCTGGCCCATAAATTATTATACAGATAGTCCTGGAGTTACGACCACAGCTGGGCCCAACATTTCCTAAGCCAGGCGGTTGTTGAGTTGCACCTTGTTTGATGACTCTTTTTTTTTTGCCATTGTCGTGAAGTTAAAACTTACAATGAACGGTTGCAGGAACTGGGCCTGGCTAGTCTAGTGAAGAGAAGGACCAGAGGAGACAGGATAGCAATCTTCCAATATTTGAGGGGCTGCCACAGAGAGGAGGGGGTCAAGCTACTCTCCAAAGCACCCGAAGGCCAGGCAAGGAATAATGGATGGAAACTGATCAAGGAGAGATTCGACCTGGAAATAAGGAGAAATTTTCTGACAGTGAGAACAATCAACCAGTTGCCTTCAGAGGTTGTGGGAGCTTCATCAGTGGAAGCTTTCCAGAAGAGACTGGACTGCCATCTGTCAGAAATGGTGTAGGGCAGTGGTCCCCAACCTTTTTATCGCCGCGGCCTGCTAAGCGCGCGCAGGGGTGGGGCCACAGCCCAGGAGCCTTTGCGCAGGCCCATTGCGCACGGCCCAGGAGCCTTTGCGCAGGCCCATTGCGCACGGCCCAGGAGCTTTTGCGCAGGCCCATTGCGCACGGCCCAGGAGCCTTTGCGCTGAAGCGTTCCTGTCCCCCGGCCGCTGCGCGGCCCGGTGCCAGGTACTCCACGGCCCGGCACCGGTCCGCGGACCGGGGGTTGGGGACCACTGGTGTAGGGTCTCCTGCTTGGACGAGGGGGGTTTGGACTAGATGACCTAAAAGATGACCTCAGCGTTTAGTCATGTCGGCCACATGACCACGGAGACATCTTTGGACAGTGCTGACTCCTCGATTTAGAAACAGAGATGAGCAACCGCCCCCTAGAGTTGGGAACGACTACCTTTAGGGGGCACCTTTACCTTTACCTTTATTTGTTTCCTAATATGATTTGATTGTTTATTAGTCACCTATGACTTTCACTCTGTTGTATATTATGATTTTTGATGAATGTATTTTTTTTTCCTTTTATGTACACTGAGAGCATATGCACCAAGGACAAATTCCTTGTGTGTCCAATCCCACCTGGCCAATAAAGAATTCTATTCTATTCTAACTCAAGTATTTATATTGCTTAATTCTTTCTTTTTCTTTTTCTTCTTTTTTTTTTTTTTTTGGAGATCAGTTATGGCTGGCTCAATGCTTCCACCTTCTGGCATAGTCTGGACAAGACTGGCACTAATTCACCACTGGCAGAGAAAGTTAATATTTTAAAAATAATGACTTGCTCCCAATTTAGATCCTTTTGTGCCTTTCCAAAAGACCTCTGTGAGCAATAAATATGGATGAAACCAACAATTGATATTCCCAATCATTAATCAAAACCGGTTCGTTGGGTGACTTCGGGCCGATCACCAGGAGTCGGTGAGTTCTAGTATCGCCGTAAGCGTGAAAGTCAACTGGGAGACTTTGGGCCAGTTGCTCTCTCTCTCACCCCAGCCCACCTCACAGGGTTATTGTGGGGAACACAGGAGGAGAAAGGAGTATTAAATGTGTTATCCACTTTGCATTACTTATAAAAATAATAAAGGGGGGATCTAAATAAATAAAAACATTCATATTTCATGGCAGAGCAAAAGTCAAAACACAACGAATCGAAAACGCATCGATTTCATTAAACAGTGCAACATTTTAATAACTGGAATTCTAAGAACAGGATACGCCCTAAATTGGTCGGATTGAATCATCCACACAAACAGCAGTGTGAAACTTCACAACATTTGCGCTTAACAGCTTTTGCAAGAATAACGTTCCAAACTCTACTGTAAAAAAAGAAGAAGGAATAAAAACTGCAGGGAAGTTAATTGAGAAACAAACTTTGTTCTTCATAAGGATCCAAAGTTATTCATGACTTCCTCTTTAATTTCATCTTCACATCAGAGAAAACATTGGCTTCGTTTGGAATCCAGTATGCTAAATAACCAGAACAACCAGGAATGAAATCTCGTATCTCCCCGAGAAATTTCTTCAACACTTTCCCAGAGGTATAACCTAGAAAAGAAATGGTAATAAATATACATTATACAGATAATGATAGATAGATAGATAGATAGAGAGAGAGAGAGAGAGAGAGAGAGAGATACCAGTAGATAGATAGATAGATAGATAGATAGATAGATACCGATAGATAGATAGATAGATAGATAGATAGATAGATAGATAGATGGATGGATGGATGGATGGATGGATGGATGATAGATAGATAGATAGATAGATAGATAGATAGATAGATAGATAGATATTAGATGGAAGATAGATGATAGATGATATAGATAAATAGGCAGGCAGGCAGATAGACAGATAGATTGATATAGATTAGGTAGATGATAGAGATAGATAGATAGATAGATAGATAGATAGATAGATAGATAGAGATAATATAGATAGACAAACAAGAGAGAGAGGAGAGAGGAGAGAGAAAGAGAGAGAGAGAAGAGAGAGGGGGGGATAGAACAGCATGGAGACCTAGTGGTGAAGACATTCGCCACCACTCATAAAGTTGAGAGTTCAATCCTAGCTAGCGGCAGATGTTTCTCTATCAGGGTGCAAAGAAAAATATATCTGCTGTGAACTCCCCATAGGTGTCAGGAAGGGCATCTGGCCAGTAAATGCTCAACTCCATCCCGACTCTATCCCGAATTAAGGGATTACAGGATCATAAAAGGGGAGTTGAGAGAGAGAGAGAGAGAGGAAGAGATGAATGTCTCCCACAACATCCTCTAACATTTGTCCAGCATCATGAGACATTAGAATACAGCACCGAGTCATTGATCTTCTGAATTATGTGTCTTAATAACTCATTCATCACATATTTTATTTACCTGTCACCATGTTACTTGATGGATAATCTTGAAGAGGAATGTATGTTAGCTTTCCTGTTTCAGATGTCCTTGGACCTTGGCTGCAAAAAACATAAATATTAGAATCCTAGGGCTGGAATCTTCTAGTCCAACCCCTCTATGGAGAAATATAGTGAGAAGAGATGCTTTTAATTTCAGTTTATTATTTTTCTTATCTATCATCTTGCTAACTAAGGATCAAGGATATAGGCTTTGCTCCGATTAATCATTTTCAAGAGCCAACAGATTAATTAGATTAATTAGTCATTAATTAGATTAATTAGTCATTAATTAGATTAATTAGTCATTCTCAGTCAATACATTACTATTCAATACATCAATCTCCTATTATTGATTCCATTCAAATTTATACCATTTCTCCAGTTCTTTCTTGTCTCTTAACTGTTCTTGCTTCTTGATGTTTTTTGACTCAGGAGTTGGACCAGACTGTGGACAGAAAAACAACCTTAATTTCTAATTTCTCATTACTCCATCTGGCTATGCCAATTTATAAAAGAAATTCAATCAGCCCCATTAATGTTATTTTCTTATATGGGGCAGTAGTCACCTTCTATGAACAATTTTGCCTGATGGAAAATAAGAAAATTCAAAACACCAGGCAATAATATTGTTCTAAAGTAGAAAGTTTGGGTTTTATAATAATAATATTGTTAACTGTTGCCTTCTAGATATTTTTCTTACCTGGAGTGTAAGTGGACTGTAGTGTAAGTCCTGGACTGGACTGGTTATCTGTTCCCATATAAAGTGGCCAATTTTTTTTCTAATTTCTACAGTGAAGGCAAAAGGAAAAAAGAAAAAGAAAAACCGCTCAAGAAGGGAAAAGTTATTCCATTATTAATGTAATAACAGAGTCATTCTGTACTAGCAATTACACTGGCTGCCAAATTTATGCACAGTAATTAAATATGATGCATCATTTATAATAGAATAACAACATCTATTTCCCAGCCTTAACTGGAAATTTATCTCCCCACCTGGGAAATTTCTAAAGAGATTCATCCCATGCTTACAATATGGCACAAACCTGATATAGTTAGAAAAACAAATGGAGCTCACTTGCACGCATAGCTATAAATGTGCAAATCCACACTCCATTATATCTCTGTTTATAATATATGTAGTTGCAACTGTTTGAAGGAGTTTTCTTGCTAAACATATCAGCTGTTCTTTTATACAGGTTTTTTTTTTTTTTTAATTTGATTTATATGCCACCCTTCTCCGAAGACTCAGGGCGGCTTACAATGTGCTCAGCAATAGTTCTTTTCTGCAGGACCTGGTGCTCTAATATAGTCCACCCAGAGCAAAAAGCAAGGTGTACATTTCACGCAAGCATGCAGGCATCCATTAGAAAGCGGAAGGAAGTACTTTGAACATCTTGATCGCACTGACAATTTTACACTTATTTCTAGAGAGTTATTCCTCCCACCCCTGACAACGAGCTTTTGCAATCATTTCAGGGTGAATAATAAACAGAGACAAAGGATATGAATTTCCTAGAACTCCTGTTTGCTCTCTGGTGACAGCAAAAGAAAGAGGAAGGAAGGAAGGAAGGAAGGAAGGAAGGAAGGAAGGAAGGAAGGAAGGAAGGAAGGAAGGAAGAAAAGAGAGAGAGAGAGAGAGAGAGAGAGAGAAAGAAAGAAAGAAAGAAAGAAAGAAAGAAAGAAAGAAAGAAAGAAAGAAAGAAAGAAAGAAAGAAGTCAGGAAGGAAGGAGAAAGAGAGACAGAGAGAGAGACAGAGAGACAGAGAGAGAGAAAGAAAGAAAGAAAGAAGTCAGAAAGGAAGGAAGGAGAAAGAGAGAGAGAGAAGAGAGAGAAAAAGAAAGAAAGAAAGAAAGAAAGAAGTCAGAAAGAAAGGAAGGAAGAAAGAAAGAAAGAAAGAAAGAAAAGAAAGAAAGAAAGAAAGAAAGAAAGAAAGAAAGAAAGAAAGAAAATATCATCTGTTGAATTTAGGGCTAAGGAATGCCATGGGACACATATAAGAACAAGGATGTGCAGTTAGACAGATGTCTGGCATTTTTGTCCACTTTTTGAGTCCTCCCCAAGGACCCAGAACAGGCAGATGTTGATGTTGTTATTAAACCTATTGCTCATTCTGGTCCATGCGTACTACCTTGTTGCAAGCTGGCTGGTAGGAGAACGAAATGTCCTAGAGCTACTGTGTTTTTTGTTTTGGCCTTGATATTCGCAGTAAGAAAGCAGGAATGAAAAACCGTGACTCGGTCCTCCAGATAGTCTAAACTTTGGTATATTCTGGGAAAAGAAGAAGGAAAATTATTAAATTGTGAAACAATTTATTTATTTATTTATTTTTGCTTACATTGTGTTAGATCTCAACTTCCCAAGGGAAAGAAGTGAAGATTTGCAGAAAGCAGAACATTTCTGGTAAGTCCGTGAGTCAGTAGTATAAAGCAATTTCTTTGTCTCTATTAAATACCTGCAGCAGGCATTTTTTACAATGTGGTGTCCATTTTTGTGGTGCAGTGGGTATGTGTGTGTTCATTTATGTATATGCGTGATTATCTATACGACACAAGACTCTAGAAGACTCACAGTTCTTAATTTTTTTTTTCTTTTTACGATCCCTTAATCCTTTTATTCGTGGTACAGTCGGGTGAAGCTGAATAGAGCTGAGCATTTACTGTCCGGATGCCCTTCCTGACACCTGCATGGAGTTCACAGCAGATATTTTCTCTTTGCGCCCTGCTAGAGAAACATTTGCCACTGCCTTGAATTGAACTCTCAACCTTTCGAGTGCAAAGCAAGCATCTTCACCTCTAGGCTACCACGCAGCTCACTCGCAGCTCTTAGTTAAATAACCAAATTCTAAACACCAGCCATCTAATCATCTTTGTTGATCTTCTCTGCACTCTTTCTAGAGCCGTGATGGCGAACCTATGGCACGCGTCCCACAGGTGGCACGCGGAGCCATATCTGTGGGCACGCGAGCGTTGCCCTATCTTAGCTCCAGCGCGCAAGAGCGCACCAGCCACCTGATTTTCGGCCTTCCGGTCCCACTGGAAATCGGGAAACATGCCATTTCCAGCCTCCAAAGGGCCTCTGGGGGGGGAGGGGGGAAGGCCGTTTTCGTCCTCCCCAGGCTCCAAGAAAGCCTCTGGAGCCTGGGGAGGATGAAAAACGGGCCACCATGCCAAAACCAGGGGAGCGCAGGTGGGGTCACGTGTGCATGCATGGGGGGCGGGATGCATTGAATTATGGGTGTGGGCATGCATGCGCGTGCGCCCCCTCCCCCGTGCTCCCCCTGCTTTTGGCACGCAACGGCAAAAAAGTTAGCCATCACTGTTCTAGAGTCTCCTCATCTTTTTTACATTGTGGTGACCAAAACTAGATTAAAAACTGGATTAGAAAAATAAGACCCTCTAAGATTGGACTGCCATTTTTCAGAAATGGTGTAAGGTTTCCTGCTTGGGCGGGGGGGGTTGGACTAGATGACCTACAGGGTCCCTCCCAGCTCTGTTAATCTAATCTAAAAAAGATACTGATCCAAGCGGAGTTGCGATACCTTTTTGTATCCGGGTGAGAAGCATTGCTGCTGAAGAGATAATCGGCAGCTTCCAAATTCACAATCACCCCTCCTTCACCAACTGCAGAAAAAGATCACAAGGAAGGTCCTTGATCATGCAACGCAAAAGGTGAAGTCACAATACAGGTGGTCCTTGACTTACAACAGTTCATTTAGTGACCGAAGTTACGTCACTGAAAAAAAGTGACTCATGACCGTTTTTCACACTTACGACCGTTCCAGCATCTCCTTGGTCACCTGATCAGAATTCAGACGGTTTGGCAAGTGGTTCATACTTATGACGATTGCAGAGTCCCGGGGATCACACGACCCCCTTCTGACAAACAAAGTCCACAGGGAAGCCAGATTCACTTAACAACTGTTTTACTAACTTAACAACAGCAGGGATTCGCTTAATAACGGTGAAAAGGGTGTAAAATGGGGCAAAATCTCACTTAATAAGCCTCTCACTTAGCAACAGAAACTTGGGGCTCAGTTGTAGTCGTAAGTCGAGGACTACCTGTAGGGTATATTCTTTGCAAATGACATGGTCTTCCAAGAGTTCGTTTTTTCTCGGAAAAAGACTGAAAAGTTAAAAAAAAATCTAGATTTTTGGGAAAACCCTGATATAGATAGTCCTTGACTTGCGACCTTTCGTTTAGTGACTGTTTGAAGTTCCGGTGTCCCCGAAAAAAAGTGACTTAGCAACCGCTCCTTGCACTTATGGCCGTCACAACATCTCCACGGACCCGTGATTAAAATTTGGGCACAGGCTTTTAGCGTCCCAGGGTTATGTGGTGGTCATTCGCGACCTACCTGCTTGGCTTTCGGCAAGCAAAGTCAATGGGAGAAAGCTGGATTCGCTTAACAACACCATGATTCACTGAACAGCGGCAGTGGGTTTGCAAAAAAAAAAAAAAAAAAAGTCACGAAGTCGGGTGCGGCTCACTTAATAACCTCCTTGCTTAGGGACGGAAATTCTGGTCCTCTTTTGCGACATAATTCGAATACTATACCATACTGTAATGGTTCTTAAAAAGAGGACCAGCTGTTCCAGGTTCAGCGTTTCCAGGCAGAGAAATTTTCCTCTGGCTTTGTGGGGGCTCTAGGTCCATGCCCCCAGCCGCCATGAACAAAATTCAAAAGTTTTTTTGGGGGGAGGGGGCTTCAATGGCATGGGCGCCATTTTGACTTTTTTGACTTCTCCCTAGCCGATATCACCAGCAGCCCTTAATTTCAATTGGGGGAAGCCTTGGGCCCCATCACTCCCAATGGGGGCTTTCCCTGCTTTCCTCCCTCTCCCCCCTCCCCCCGGCAGGGATTCCCTCAGGCCTCCCCCTCACCCCAAAGGCGGCGAATCCCTGGGGGGACGCTCTGCGAGAACCAGGCGCTGCGGCCCCTAAACATCCCGCCGTGAGGCCGAGCGGGGGCCTCCCAAAGCTCCATATACTTCCTTTCCATCCAAATGAAGGCCCCAAAATGTCTCCGCCCACCCACGGAAGAAAGTGGTTTGCGCACATGTCCTGTCTTCTTGCACGCATTTGCACCCGGGAGCCCATTAATATGCATGGAGGTTGCATGCAAATCACAGACTGTGTTTCCTTCTTCATTGTGGGGGGTGGGAGATGGGGGTCTCCTGTCCGGTCGGGACGTTCCAAGGGCAGCTAAATCCAGGCGTAAAAAGAGGCCCTGAAACCAGCTCGGCAGATTCCAAACACCGACTTTTGCAACATGTCAATCATGCGAACAGCCGCCGTGCTAAGAATGATCTTTCCAATCAACAGAAGGCAAAGAGTAACTCAGATCGACAGCTGGTTTTCGCTTTGGAGTACAGGCGGGTCCTCGGCTTACGACCCTAATGGAGGCCAGCGTTTGTGTGGCTGAGCGAACCATTCGTTCACTGAGTTTGGCCTCGTTTTACGAGCTTTCTTGCCACGGGTGCGAAGTGAATCGCTGCATTGTTGAGTTACTTGCACACACGGTTGTTAAGTGAATCTGGCTTCCCTGTTGAATTTGGTTGTCAGGTGGTCGCAAAAGGGGATCACGTGACCCCGGGACTCTGCGACCGTCATAACTATGAGTCAGTTTCATAGGCCTTTCCAGCATCCCCCACGGTCACGAATTTAGTGACCGTGGGGGATGCTGGAAAGGCCATAAGCGTGAAAAACGTAAGTCGCTTTTTTCAGTGCCGTGGTAGCTTTGAACTAAAATCTCGCTAAATGAACTGTTGTAAGTTGAGGACTACCTGTAGTTGCAGATGTTGCAGGTTCTGGGGCGGTAAGATCAGGAGGAGTCCTTTTCCAACGAACACATTTTATTTAAAAAGATCTGATGAAAATGCCTGCCTATTAATAACATTGGTTAGCTGGAATGGTGCTTGTCAGGCTTCTGAATTTGTGCAGGAGCTGTGAAGTCATCACAACTGCTGAGTTCCTGAAAGTAATCATGGATCTCAAACACAAAAAGTGATTGCAAATATATAAATATTTATGGGTGTTCCTTTTTTGTTTTTCTTTTTTGAAACAGCAAATCCACCCACTGCAATAATAGATTTGGGCCTTTCTTTAGGCTGGATGACTTTTCACCAATACAGGTAGTCCTTGACTTACAACTATTCATTTAGTGACTGTTTGAAGTTAGGGTACAGAATAAAGTGACTTACGACTATCACGCCCCTGTCAAAGCATTCCGCCCCACACACACACAATTCGAGCATTTGGCAGCTGGTATGTGGGCGCCATCTTTCTAGCCAACCTCCGACAAACAAAGTCAATGGGAGAAGCCAGACTTGCTTAATGACCGTACGATTCGCTTAACAAGCGAAGTAATTTGCTGAAAGGTGCTAAGAAAAAGGTAAAACCGTGCGTGCCTCACTTACCAACCGTCCCGCTTAGCAATGGGAAATCTGGCCCCAGGTGCGGCGTTAAGTCAAGGACTACCTGTGCAACTGATTTTTTTAAAAATCTGGGGGAATGAAGTTTGGCCAGTTATTATTTCCTCGAGTTTCTGAACATTTGCCTGTTTTCACACCGGTTTTGAAGAAGGAAGGGAGCTTCCCATCAAACATCAGGAGGAGAGGCGGTGGGGGGAAAAAAATCCATGCTTAAATTTAACATTTTATTTTGATTTGATCAAGATACCTTTACTATTATTATTATTATTATTATTATTATTATTATTATTATTATTATTATTATGGAATGGAACACTAATAGCTTGGGATACATCCTTCTGCTCAACCTTACAGTCGGAAATTCTCCCGGAAAGAAATCGGATGATCCCATTGGAGATGCTCTTTTAAGTGGTCAAGGAGGCATTGGCTACCTTTTCAAAACATGACGCTTGTCCTAGCTGAACCACAGAAAGGGACAAAGGAACTACTCTACTCTTTCAAAGAGTGAGGAGTAAACCCCAGCAGAAGTCCAAGGGAACTGGCTGGGCCCTTCTACCGGCCCTGGGGTTGTAACCCACAATCCTATAAGCTCCCACAGAGCCAGGCTCAGAGCTGAGGAGACATCTCCATCTTCACCGTGCTTCTACATATTGAAAGCTATGATTCTCAGTGGTTCCTTGTTCTCTCCAGAGTTATTGAGACATGGGCAAAAGTAGGGGTACACCTTCTCAGTGAAAGTGTCCATGAAGGTGTAGAGGTGAGACATGGACACGGCATCATAAAAGGATACCTGGCCCTCTTCGTAATCCAAATAGATCCCCACTCTGGACAGACGGCCAAGCAAGGTTAGACATTTGGGACGGACATCTACGGCCTTTAGCTCGATCTTATTCCTCAGCTTGATCAACCAGTGGCCTTCCTTGGGCGAGAGGGGATAATTCCCTTTCCGGTTAATGCTTTCCCGGACAACCCCTAAAGTCCACTTGCTCTTCTTCTTCACTTCCACTTCCCAATAGTACTTCCCGGTGGTGAATCCTTCAGAACCTAAGACCGAAACGCTGCAATCAAATCTTTCGGGAGTATCTGGAAGAATCTGCTTTATGTCGTTATGCCAGACGCAGGTCAACTCTTCGGAGAGGATCAAGTTGGGGTGGGCTGTGTTAGGATCCAAGGTGACGAAGGTGATGTCTGGAGAAAGAAGGAATATGATCGGTGAAGCCTGGGAGATGCCTCCCAAGGACTTGACACGCAATAAACAAGGCCTATCTATACAATCGGGGTGGGCTTCAAAAATTTTAGCAAGGGGTTCTCTGCCCGGTTGCTGGGTGGGTGTGGCCATGGTGGGCATGGCCTAATTGGCCTCCTGCACCACGGCAGGGGTGGGGGGGTTGTTTTTGTCCTCCCCAGGCTCCGGAGGCTTTTTTCGAGCCTCCCGGAGGGTGAAAACTGCCTCCCCAGGCTCCAGAGGCCTTTGGAGGCCGGAAATGGGCCCTTCCCAAACTTCCAGTAGGCCCTCCCTGAGCCTCCGCCCGCACCCTGCACTTACCTGCATCCAAAACGGGCCACGTGAGGCTCCTGGGATGGGCAGGGTGGGGTGGGCGGGGCCAGCCAGGAGTGGGATTTGGGGGTTCTCAGAACTGCACAGAATCTTAGCTAGAGGTTCTCCCGAACCCCTGCAAACCCCCTGCAGCAAACCCCTGTATACAATATACTAACTTTCTTTGGTACAGATATGAAATGCATTAACCTCTTATTCTAAAATCAAGAGCTATAGTATTTATATCATCATAAACAGTTCCAAGTGTCAAATCCCAAAATTAAACGTGCATTTCTTTCAGTCATTAGCAAGAAGCCCAACGGGGGGGAAGCAAAGTTAGATTTTCCTTAATCAGAATAACTTCTTTCACCATCTCAAGCAGTTGCATTAGCTTCCCCATCCCTTCTTCTATGATAGGAATGGGGGTGGGGGAGAGAATCAATTTCAGTTAAGATCAAGAAACTGGATCTGGTTGTTTCTTTACCTGGATTAAGGATGGTTCTCATTTCTTTCCACATCGCATAATGCATGGGGCCCTTGAATTCTCCAGAGTTCAGCGTCCCGGTCACTAATTGTCCCAGAGATGAACTTTCGGTTTTGTTCTCCATCCTACACAAGACATTTGTAGACTTAGTTAAATGTGGCAGTGATGTGGGATAATCTGTGTTAGGATATGGTGTAAGTCTAACAAGTTGTCCAGGCAATATATGTGTTCTATAACTTTAAATGTATTCTGTAACTATAAGATGTAATGCTGAGTAATTGTACTGCTGAGTCATTGTAACTGACTGCTGACTAACTGCTGACTGCAATTATCATAATTGTACTGTTGAGTCATTGCACTGCTGACTTCACTTATCTTAAGTGGATAATTACTAGTATAAACTGTATATAAGAAGGAAGCCGAGCTATAAGCATTGTTGGACCTGCTCTCATCATTGCTTGACTTGCTGCTTGGCTTGTTGGTTGGAACTGTTACTGTCGTGTGTAAAGACGTGGATGGATATGCTACCATCGTGATTTGTTACCAGCGTTGAATTGCTGTTTGTATGGTAAGAGGATAACTGTAACTCTGTAACTTCGGACTGATTTGAATGGCTAAAGACTTGGATTGACTAAAAGACTATGCAATTGTTTTTCACTACAAAGTAAAAGCTTTGTTAAACCAGTTTGTATGTATTGTATTCATTGCTCTCAGTACCGTTTCTCTGTGCACTTGCTCTGCTGGTTGGTTAACACAACAATATCCTTAACAATCTGGCACATAATGAGCCGCGGTGGCGCAGTGGTTAGAGTGCAGTACTGCAGGCTACTTCTGCTGACTGCCGGCTGCTTGGAATTTGGCAGATCGAATCTCTCCAGGCTCAAGGTTCAGACTCAGTCTTCCCTCCTTCCAAGGCAGGTAAAATGAGGACCCAGGTTGTTGGGGGCAAGAGGCTGACTCTGTAAACCGCTTAGAGAGGGCTGTAAAAGCACTATGAAGCGATATATAAATGCTATTGCTGTAATCGCAGAAACGACTATTCCCTTGGGATATACCGGCTAAGAGCAACGCACTGAGGAACACTTCCTGCCTCAAAGAATTGTATGCGTTGTCCTCAAACTACTATATGGGAAAGAGCTGTGTTTGATGCAACATCATCCCTGGAATTTCTTCCTGTCTGATATAAATGCATGGAACTAAGGAGGAAAAAATGAAGTGGCAACACAGGCCAATGAACTTATTTGTTGTAGGGCCTTGGTGTTCTTTGATTTTGGTTGTTTTCTTGCAGTCTTTTCATTACCCAACTAGATAACAGCATCCATGCGCTGATGATATTACCTAGTTGGGTAATGAAACGTCTGCAAGAAAACACCAAGCTCAGAGAGCACGAAGGATCCCTTAGTTCAAACCTGAGCTACAAATTGTCTCCTTTATTGAATACCGAAAAGGATGCAAAATGTGGACAGAATCTAGAAATTAGAGATGACTGAAAT